ATTCTTTTGGTATTACAATTCTGTTACCCCTTAGTAATATTTTATCATAAAAACAAAGCTCATTTTCAAAGATTTTATATCCTTTTACCGAATCATCCCAGTCTTTATTGTACATTCCTTTTTTAACATTTTTTTTTCTTCATCTTGTCCTGAGCATTCTAAGAGGGCATCCATGGGAATGGCACAAGGTCTAGCCTGTTCTACTATCTGCTGTACGTAATCTTCAACATTTCCAGGTGGTATATTGTGATATTCACAAAGTCTTGACAAAGGATCCGCAATGTTAACTTTACCGGGTCTGTATTTAATATTGTATCGAAATGCCTGTAACCGTAAAACCCAACGTTCAACGCGCGCACATGGCTTCGACTTCTGACCAAATAAGAATTCTAAAGGCTTATGGTCTGTAATCAGATCAAATTCTTTGCCAAACAAAAAAATTTTGAAATGTTCTACGGCCCAGACCAGCGCCAGTGCCTCCTTTTCTGTTTGGCTATATTTCCGTTCCAGTTCAGTCAAAGTGCGGTTACCATAAGCAATAATTCTCGGTCCTCTACCATCGTTTTGTATCAGCACACTTCCTAACCCCACAGGACTCGCGTCAGCAATGACCTGTGTTTCATCATTAACGTCGTAGTATCCTAATGTTGGTACCTTACTCAGAGCTTGCTTTAGTTTCCTAAATGCTTGGTCCTGCTCATCTTTCCATCTTCTAAGCTTGTCTTCTTCCCAGCCTTTTTCCTCAGTAATTTTTTCAAGGGCTCAGCTGTAGTCGACAGATTAGGCAACCATTTATTTATATAGTTAACCAATCCCAGGAAACTTTGAAGTTCCTCCACTGTCTTAGGCTTTCTAAATTCAACAATACTTGTTACATATTTCTTAAGAGGTTTAACTCCATCTGGTGTCAATTCGTGTCCCAGGAAGCTGATCTTTTGCACCTTGTATACACACTTGCTTTCGTTCAATAAAACGTTATTTTCTTTTAAAACTCTCAAGACTTTAGATAACCTTTCATCGTGTTGCTTTTCATCTTCTCCATAGACTAAAATATCATCAATAAAATTAATGACACCTGCCAGGCCCGCCAACATTTTTTCAAGTATTTTTTGAAATAATTCCGGCGCGCATGTGATGCCGAACATAAGTCGTTTATATCTGTACAAACCCTTTGAAGTTATGAATGTCGTCAGATATCTTGAATTAGGATGAATTTCTACCTGATGGAAAGCATTTTTTATGTCCAGTTTAGAAAAGCAATTGGCTTTTCTTATTTTAGGCAAGAAATTATCCATACAAGGCAATGGATGATTTTCCCTCATGATTGCGGAATTTGCTCTTCTCATATCTACACACAGTCGGATGTCATCATTATCTTTTAAAATGGGTACTACAGGTGAAATCCATCGAGAAGGTCCGTGTACCTCCTCAATGATATCACTGTCAAGGAGCTCTTTTATTTTCTGTTCCACTTTCTTTTCGATAGGAATTGGTATTCTTCGATACGGTTGTGATACGGGATTACATTTTTCATCGACTGGAATCTCAACTAGAACATCCTTGAATTTTGGAAAAGGTTTGGGGGATTCCACAATTTCATTTATACCAATACCTAATTTAAGAACTCCTAAACGAAGAGCAGTTACTTTTCCCAATAAATCTCTCGATCCTTTTTGAATGACATAAACTGTAGTACGTTCTGATTTCTGGTTCACTTTGATGTCCGTTTCGAAAGATCCTTTGATATTCAAAGGTGAGTTACTCCCGTACGCATATAAGGTTTTGTTTGATCCTTTCACTTGATTAATACAGAAAACTTTTTCCTTTTTTAAATCTTCCCATGTTTTTTCAGTGATTAAATTTAATTTACACCCAGAATCTATGAGCAAATTTAATTTGACTCCCCCTATTTCACATTTAATAGTAGCTTCGTCGTCGTCATTCATGTTAAAAATATAATGGTCTCGATCAGAAGAATCTTCATCACTATCAACATTTATTAGGTTTACTTCATTCCGTTTCTTTTTTATTTTAGGGTCATCGTTCTGTTTGTTCTCAAGTTTTCGCTTTTGAGGTCTTGTCCTACACATTGTACCAAAATGTCCGAGTTTTCCGCAGGCATGACAATTTTTCTTTTTTGCAGGACACTCTTTGTTTGACGCTGTATGCGTATTGTATCCGCATCTACTACATTTACTTGATCTTGACTTATTTGTCGATTCTTCCTTTTCGTTATTCTCCTTTTTGTATTTCTGGCCATCTTTCCTTGAATCATAGTTTTTTTGTTGACTTCTAATTGTGTTAACATCATTTGACTTACTTTTATGTCCATACTCTTCTAGCTGATGGCTTACTATTTCTAGAGTATTTGCTTCAATTATGATTTTATCTAATGTAACAGTGTCTCCTAAAGTTAATATTTTTTTCCTTAGTTCTGACGAAGAACATTTTTCCACAATCTGATCAATTATATGCTCATCAGGACTGGTGAATTTACATTTTCCAGCTTGGTTTCTTAATCTAACAACAAATTTTTCAAATCTTTCTCCTTCCTCCTGTTTTATCTGTCGAAATAAATGCCTTTCATAAATTCTATTCTGCTTTGGAAGAAAATATTCGTCAAGCTTTTCAATAACTGTTTTGAAAACTTTTGATTCAGTTGAAACGTTTTCTTCATAAGCACCAGGTAGGTTGTAAACAATCTCTTGAAGTCCTGGCCCTCCTAAAAGGAGCAGTGTTGCTCTCTTTTTTCTTCTCCTGTAATTTCTGAGGCTTCCAAGTAGATATTAAAAGACCTTTTCCATCGCTCCCATCCTAATGCAACTGTTGCATTGTCTCCTTCGAGATCAAACTTTTCTGGAGCTGGCAATAAGTTTGTCATTTTTGGAGTTGGTAGATTTGGGGTGACCTGGAATCAAAGTTGATTTGGTAGGCTATATTTATTTCAACATCTACCACGTCGCCTATTATCATTTCGCACGATTTAACATTGAAAGTAGGTTCGTACTACCAAACACGCAACCACGCACGATTTACAATTTAATGTAGGTTCGTACTACCAAACACACAACCACGCACGATTTACAATTTAATGTAGGTTCGTACTACCAAACACACACCACGCACGATTTACAATTTAATGTAGGTTCGTACTACCAAACACACAACCACGCACGATTTACAATTTAATGTAGGTTCGTACTACCAAACACACAACCACGCACGATTTACAATTTAATGTAGGTTCGTACTACCAAACACACAACCACGCACGATTTACAATTTAATGTAGGTTCGTACTACCCAACACACAACCACGCACGATTTACAATTTAATGTAGGTTCGTACTACCAAACACACAACCACGCACGATTTACAATTTAATGTAGGTTCGTACTACCAAACACACAACCACGCACGATTTACAATTGAATGTAGGTTCGTACTACCTAATAAATAGTATATGTTAATATATGTATATATTTATTGTAATAACTAAAAATAAACTTATCAAGTTTAATAAATCACCAGAAGTCATTTCAATATACAAAACATTAATATTCAAATTACAAAATAAATAATTTAAATTCATTGTTGATTGCAACAATGAAAGCAACAAATAGCAAGAAGGTAAACTCGTTGAGTACCGTCATTACAGACACAATTAAAGAACAATAGGTCGCGGTCACCGGCGTCCTCGCTGTGTTTAGCAGTTGAAAACTCGATCTTAATAAAAAGTGTAAGCATTCTAATTTGTTTGCAACAATGTAACACGGTTATAACTTGTTTATCGTATTGCAATTCGGTGAATCATCGGACACTTATGTAGGTACCTTTCTTAATAAATAGGCCTACGAAGTGTAATGATAATTAAAGTTATAGATTAATAAATTGGTTGATAAAATATATTCCTAATTAGTAAAATATGAAAGTTAGGCTTCATGAGGCACGAATATAACTTTACAATTACAATTACAATAATTGTAATATTTTTATTATTTATTGTTCTCGGGTAATTTTATTTAACAATCACAAATCTAATACCTAAAGATTAAGGAACTTCAGTTCAAAAATTGCTTATCTTACGTATCAGCGTACTTATTAAACCTTCCTTTCTCCCTCCTTTTTGTATTACTTTTTTCTTTTTGTTTTTTTTTTTTTTTTTTTAATTCTCGAGGGTTTATTTAAAATTTTCTATTTCCTGGTATAACCTAGCTGAATAATATTTTTAATTTAACACTGACCTTTTATCTCGTCGCCACATGTAACACTCCGTGTCACAATAGGTACTAATTGGCTCGTTACCACACCAGTAAGCAGGCAGACATCCGTCGTCGCTCGTAGCTGTCGTGCAACTGTCCGCCCCACTACCCGTGTGCTCGAGACAACGTCATGTTTATTTACTAGATTATATATATCACAAACACTACACTACCTATTTCACCAACGTATTTCATCGTTTTTGGTAAAGCAAGTTCGAAAATTTTCATCGATCGCTTTACCTTAGAAGGCCATATAAAGACTGTCATAATCTATTTTGTAAAACCGTATCGGTGCCGGTATCTCGTTTATTGCGTTTACCCATACTTATAGGTACTGTTTGGTCCCATCTTACGCCTTAGTCCTTGAGTATATACTTAGCTACTGGCGTCTAGCCTGTACATACAGGATGTCCCTGAAGTCGACGATCAAATGGCACCAGGTGATCGGCAAGGTTCTAAGAGTTATCAGAAAAAAATACGAAACAATAAAGATTTGCAGCAGCAAGGATCAAAACACTGGCACAGGGTGTACTTTTTCGTGGATAACACATTAAGTCATTGTAATTAAAAATTGTATAACTTAGATTTTTTTATATTTTTCTGATAACTGGTGTCATTTGATTGTCGACTTCAGAGACACCTGTGTACAATCGTAGACCAATTAATGTAAATAGGTAGCATTGCATAAAAGAAATTGACATTGTCATAACTGATAATAGCAATCCTTCATTATTACATATTTTATTAGTTTATGGTTCATGGTTATTTACAATATTCTTTACAATAGGTAATACTGTTTTTAAGGAATTATTTTACCATATTGTATTCCATTGACCGCGTTAACGACACGATTCTAGTAACTCAATGCTTACTCAATCATGAACGCGTAAGTTTATTCTTAGATATAATGTAAATTTTTTTCTTTTGTCGTATTATACTTGTAAAGAATTTAGATATTAAAAATACAGGTTAACTTACTAACCAATTAAGATAATCGATCGTGTGTTGTCAGTTCGTAGTTAAACTAATGTTTTTCAGTTATTTGACTTTCCATTTTAGATAGTTTATGTTATAGATACTGCCTAAGTATTTGATAGTCACGATTTTTTTGTTGTATGTTGGATTTATATTTCAAACCAACCAATAAGACAAATTGAAGTAACCCATCCTATATAGGTATACATATTCGCAGTGTCGGGAAATATATATACATTCAGAAGTTGAGTTGTTTGTCCAAGATGCCAAACAATACAGGAAAAATGAATGCTCACACAGTTACTAAGACTATAGTTACATCGCCACATATCTACAAACCCGTTGGACCATACAGGTACTTTCAAATGAATTGAATAAGAAGGTACCCAAATAGTATTATTTTAATATAATTAGGTATGTACCTACCTATATTGCCTGCCTTAAAGGTCGTCGTGGCCTGTTAGTATATCAGCATGTAGGAGGGTGCGGGTTCGATTCCTGGTAAGTAACATTGTGACTTTTTCGAGTAATATCCTATCTTTTTGAGATTATTTAGACACTCGTGCACTTACGTGCATCTCTGCCTCCTCTTTGGGGATAAAAGGCGTGATGTTATGTTTTTATGTTTTAATGCACTTACATACGATGAATAAAACCATGGTGAGGAAACCTGGATTTATAATAATTTCTAATTATGGAATTGGCAATTCGCCTTGAGCTAGCGTGGAGATTAATCCTTATAACTTAAATTAGTCTCCTCTCCATCTAAGAATATGTATTTGCTCAGTACTTCAGTAGTGGGCAGTTGATGAGATGATGGTGATGTGATCATTAATATATTTTTATTGAACGTGTATAGTAGATAGGTAGGTATTTAGATAAGTAGCTCCTGGCAATGATTGGAATTATTATAATTGATAACGACCTCGCTTATAATTAGGTTTTAGTAGGTACTAGGTAGGTATACCTAACAGAATTAACTAAGATCGGTAGAGGCAGTTGTGCCAGTAGGTACCTGACTAAGAGAGATCTTACATAGATAATACTGCTTCGAAACAACGTCGCTATGGTATGCAATTAGTTGATTTTTTCCATTGGGATGGCTTGTGCTGAAAATCAGTGCCGTGACCCGAGCCATTGTACTAGGCAACGATATTTATTTAGCTGAGCACTGGCCATTTTGTGCTATGACAATATTTAATTTTTTATGCACTGTAAGTGCACGTAAACTTGTTTTATTTCCTTCTTTTATAATGACTTAAGTACCTACGTTATTATATTTCAGTCAGGCTATATTGGCCGATAAAACACTCTACGTGTCCGGATTGTTAGGCATGGATCAAAAAGCGCAGATAATATGTGGAGGTGCTGAAGCGCAGGCACGACAGGCTCTCGAGAATTTAAAGCACGTGCTAGAAGCAGGCGGCGCTTCTCTCCTGTCTGTCATAAAAACTACTATCCTTCTTGCACGAATGGATGATTTCCAAGCGGTCAATCAGGTTTATGCAGAATGTGAGTACCTACATAATCTATTTATAAGTACTACCAGAAGCAGATTAAACCGCTAAACTAAACCTAGATAGCGCTCTAGGCCAACGCTTCATTGGCGCCTCAAACCTTTGGTTTTGTTATAATTTTCTTTCACTTCATACGGCTAAACGTCATTTTATTTATTTGTTTAATCTTTTATCATGCACATCGAAATGCGCATTCCTACATAAATTGTGCAAATATGTGCAACGAACCGCGAAAATTTCTTTCGTACCTGGGATGTGATGTTTGAAGTGAGAAATGTGTTGCTCTGCGTTAATTTTGCATAATTATGCGTTATATTCACGAATACTCAAATACGTGGTTTAATGTTGAGCTGTTTATAATTTCTTTTGATTTTTAGCATTAAAGTATGCATCAAAGCCAAGATATAATATAATTAGTCCTCGCAGCTGTTAGAGACAATAGAGATAAAAACTTATACTTTTTATATAGCCCTACTCCCAATCTATGATAGGATTACTTGACATTGTCATCCTTTACTTATTTGACACAATTTGTTAAAAACATAAAATTCAAAATGATACTTGTTTAATTTATCTTGTTATCACCAAACAAACCGCTTATCAGTTGTTGTAACATATCGAGTATTGAACTATTGACCCTGCGCGTACCTACTTAGTTTATTCACGATGAGTGCAAACGCAGAGAAAACGGTTGAAACCGTTGAAACTATACCCAAGACGGACGCTTCCGATGTTCCGAAGATGAATTCGTCAAAAACAAACGTGCACAAAGTTACTAAGACAATTATTTCGTCGCCAGATATTTATAAGCCTGTAGGGCCGTACAGGTTTGTATTTATTTTATAAATATCTATCATTTACTTACGATGCCAACAAGAAGACTATTTTGTTGACTTCTTTGTCCTACATTTAGTATTTCGTTAAATGTATCAGTATAATGTTTTAGCCAGGCAATATTAGCGGATAAAACTCTTTATGTATCTGGGGTGCTTGGAATGGACACGACGGCCACATTAGTGACTGGTGGTGCTGAGGCTCAGGCGCGACAGGCTCTCGAGAACCTAAGGCACGTGCTGGAAGCGGGTGGTGCTTCTCTCGAGTCCGTAGTGAAAACCAACATCTATTTAGGGCACATGGAGGACTTCCAAGCTATCAATCAAGTTTATGGAGAATGTAAGTACTTGGACATGTTTTAGTATTAGTTTTATTGTCAATTTAACCGCAAGACATAATACGTTTTCTATAGTGGCAAATAAGAGGTCAAATTAAACTTAACAATTGTTGTGAACAGTTTCACGATGAGCGATGCAATTTCTTAGTCGAACTAAGAAATTGCAGTGTAGGCTTTTCGACTCGAAAAGCCTACAGGAATACAGTAACTAATGAAGGAGTTTTAGTTTAAAATCATTGTTAAATCTCTTTAATACAGTCATAGTGAATTCGTTGTAATTTGTATTTAATGCGTTGCATTCGTACCGTAGCAATTTTTGTTTGCATTAAATACTTAATTAAATCACTACATGTGCCGCGTGAGTGTTCCCTAATACCTATATACTTAAAACAGACTACTGTAAACTGGTTTACATTTGGTACGTAGGTACTCAAGTTGCTTATTTCATAATTACATAATAGCTTAAACAAATCTCACAAATTTATGTAGGTAATATTCTCTGTCAGCGGCTTCGTGCGCGGTCTATGTGTCATTCCAAACCATAATCTACCCTGTTCCAGCCGTTTTGACGAGTTCAATCAGTTTTACTGTAACTTGCACTTTCGTTATCTACGTACAAAGGAAACATGAAAGTTCTTTATGTTCGTGTTACTATGCAGGTAGCATATTATGGTGCGAGTTCTATTTTGGCTTTGAATGTAGGTCTCTTTTCATTTTGATTTACATAATTTTGAAAAGCTAATTAAATGTGCATTGTTATGGCAATGGTAGGTACAATGGGTAGCTATTCATTGTTTTTATATTAGGTATAGATTGTTATTCTCAATTTTTAAACAATGTTTTATAAAATACTTATTAACATAGTCCATCAATATAGTGGAACTAGATTTGTACCTTCATAAAGTTTATTATATGTGGATATATTATTTCATTAAGTCTTAAAATTTCTGCATAAAGTCAAATCGTTTCAAGTGTAACTACTTAATATTTTGAAGAATACCTAAATTGTATCAAGCGACTTGTTCATCGATATGTTTTTAAATAGATTTTTGGAAGAGATTTTTTAAAACATTGTTCCCAACAAGGATTTTTTCCTGTGTCGTGTGTGCATTTATAAACATACTATTTCAGTTAATTTCACATACCATACACATTACAATAACTACACCCATAGAACAACAATTAGTGGATCACACAAAGAATAGTTTCGTGCGGAAATCGTTCCCGCGACACATTGCACAGCAGCCAAGTGCCCAACCACTGCGCCAACCGTGCAACCAGAGTTTCAAGAAATTAAAGTAGTAGTAATTTTATTCCTCGAAAGGTTTGTTTCATGTACCTATACTATTACATGTTTCGCGTAGAATATGAATTTTAGAACATAAGTTTTTTTAGTTTCATTTTTCTAAAATAAAATTGGCCAAAGTTACCCCTTAGTATACACCAGCTATCTGCCAATAAAAGTCTTGCAAAATGTTCCAGATGTTAGCTAGTACAAACAGACAGACATACAAAACAATAAAAAAATATGTTATTTTAAAATATGCATGTAGTATGAAGCGGTTATTTTAATATTAGGTACAATCAGACACTGTAATTTTATTGATCTGTATGTATGAATGTCTTACCTTAGGTACGGATATCTTGTGTCAGCCTTTCTGATAAGATGGTGCTGTACCTAACTCCATCATTTGTATGACAAGATAACTATACTTGGGAGCAAAGAAGATATTGGAGTATTTCTTGATATATTTTCTGATATTTTATTAATTGGTAACGTATTTCTGTCGTCTAAAAGGCAATTTAGTTACCTTTAAAATAAGAACATTTTATTGCAAAAGAGTATTTTTTAAAGTTCAATAAAATGGAAAAATTGTAGAGGTTCCGTTTCTTTGCCCTCGAGTGTAGTATGATTACAAGTACATTATGATTCGCTAAATAAATAATAATTATATGCTTTTGGTAGACAAAGACAGTATTTTAAGCCTTGAACTTGCGGACTTTACGTGCGTGTATACTGATAGCACCGAAAATATTTTAGATAATTTTGTGCATGCTTTTATGTGTTTTGCTGATAGAAATCTAAATGATGTCTTTAAAACGAAATAAACGAGTTTAAAAATATGAAGTAAATTGTAATAATGGTAGCAATAGTTCGTTTTATTTTCTCGTGTCCGATTTAAATGTATATTGATTATGATTTGTTGTCACATGTTTTGCTCAGTAAAATAATGTAACCCAAAATTGCTAAACTCATTAACGTGTTAATAATTAAGCTACTTTAAAACGAGCAAATAGTTTCACTAATGAACCCACAAAAACAAATAAGTATGTTTATATTTTATCTGTAAGATTTTTAAAAGTAACATTTAAATTTAATTAAAAAAAAACAAATCAATTTTGAAGTCTAAGAGTTCCTCCACTCTAGTTGGAGTGGATGACCGTACTCTTGCCCCTTTTACACTAGCCTCTTATCTGTTGAAAAAGTTGCGGGTATTTTAATTGAAAGTGTTTATATCGGGAGCCGGTGTTTCAACAGAAAAGAGGCTAGGTGATTTTGATAACTTGCTTCTTTTTTTAGGTTTCCGTGAAACGCTATTTTTGCTTACCAACCTATTAAAAAGTTTACGTTTTTATCTTTCAGTTTTTCCAAAAGATTACCCGGCACGCGCTACATTCCAAGTGGGTAAGCTTCCATTGGACGCGGCAGTGGAGATAGAAGCAATTGCACTGAGCGGAGACCTGGTCGTCGCGGAGGCGGGACCCTGCCCTTGCGCACGTACTTAGTGTGGACATTACTCGAGCGTCTTGCAACTAGGTACCAAATATTTAAATATTGATTCATACTATATCATTATTGATGTTTGAACTACTGAATCCGGTAGTATTTACCACTGTTCATTGTTTTGATTAAAACCCAAAAATACCGATGTGATTGTTTTATAACGTTATACAACCTTATATAAATATATATATTTAAAAACCTTGTTAACGAGTTCTTTAATACTGTTGTGTAATAATGAATATATTTTTGGATAATATTTAAATTGTTCGTATTAAACGACTTAAATAAACATAAATGTATGTTTCTTTCGTACTATTGTGTTGTATTTGTATATTACTGGGTATATTTTTAAACCTGGGTATATTTTAGTTTTGTTGATTACTTTTTTTCAATTTAGGATTGTCACGTTGACCAAGTGGTCGCAAGTGCGACTGCTGAGCAAGGGGTCTCGGGTTCGTTTTCCAGGTCGGGCAAAGTATTATTGTGTTTAAAAGAAATCCTCAGTAGTACCACGGAGTCTGGAATTGTGCTCACTATATAGCAATAGGCTCACCACTCACTCATAACATAAATGGTGAAAAGTGGGTGTAACATTGTACACTGGCATTAAGTGCCGTAATGTCATAATCTGCATCTCTGCTTAACCTTTCAGGAACCCCTTAAGTCGGGAAAGTAGCATACATCTATTTTTATAAATAAGAAATGATCTGGCGAGACATACTAGTACATTTTAATAAACATTTTTCTAGGGTAATATCGATAAGGTCAAGTTATTGAATAAAATAATTTAAAAATATATACTTACCTACTTAAGTGCGTCATTAATCAAGTGTAATGGCAAAGTCTGAATAACTCGTCGCCTACTTTTTAGATTTTGAGAAAAATAGTAGAAACTGTGCTGCCTAAGTAATAATAACATTACTCGACTACTTTACTTGAAAGGTTGAAGACCTTGCACGCCACCTAGCCTATAATAATAATTTCACTACAATGTTTGTACCGATGAAAAAGTATTGTTACATATTCCAGGAAGAGTCGGAATTAAAAAAAAAACGTTTATAACGTTGAGAATGAGTGTCAAATTTATTTTAATATAAATTTGTTTATGTAATCGCAGTAACGATTAAATTGATTTCCATATTTTTAATACCAGTATCTACCTACATGATTATAATTATGCGTACTTATTAATGTGCAAAATAAAATGTTACCAACGAAACGAATTATCGAATTGTTTCTTATGAACTTTCAAATTGTACGTACATTTGTTCTCTCTAATAGCTGTGTTTATTATTTATTTATTAAACCAACATGAAGTTTCTTAAATACCTTATAATTAAGTTAACTACATGCAACCGTATTTATTATTCAAATAAATAAGATACTATTTTTAAATCTGTGACCTAGAGCGGTGGTCATGAAAACGGTAGTTTACCGCGCGCCGTTCGTAAGGCAACCAACATAAAGCACACTATATCCATGCGATTAGTCGAGTGAAAAGAACTACATATTTAATACAATTACAAAAAGAAATTGTATACAAGAAAGAATTGTACAACAACTACTTATTTGCTTTTAACAATGATCTTTATTAATAACTACAGCAAACGCTATCTTTTTTATGGGATAAAAGTAATTACAAGAATAGCGTATATATATTTTCTACCAATTTATTTAATATCTCTAACATTTTCATGATTGCAGCATAACTGATATTGTGTTCGTATAATAATTATAAGCTACCTAAGTGGTTCTTTGCTTGTCTCTGTCCCTTCATCGCGTAATATAATTTTACCTGCGATTACCCGACATTTGTTTGATAAAACGTAATATGTAACCATTTACTACGAAACTGATACATTCTTGTAATATTTTAACCCAATATGATACACGACAAACAAAACTGTTGCGACTTGCGACTTATTACAGCGACATGTCGTAAAAATATATCGCAACACGAATGGGCAATATGAGGCATGAGTTAGGCGGAGACGGCATAATTTATACGTGTATGTCGGTACGGGGTAGCGGCCGTAAGCCAAGTATTGCGTGTGTTTAAGAACAAAGAGCTTTTGCCGTTAACCAGCCACTAAGCTTTATTTGTTAACCCCACTCACATATTTATAGCAGGCCTGTTGTAATTATAAAACAAAAGAATGGTGCGCAGTTTGAACTAGATTTGACATCTAAATTACTTTTCAAATTAAAAATATGTCTGTCTGCCATAAATACAACATCTTTTAATCTCTGAAGGGGTCAGCAGAGGTGCAGATAATATATTTATGTAATATGTAACTTCCAGTATACACCACTTAAGTTATGAGTTCCATGCAATAGAGGCTGAGTCTATAACCATACTATCATACACCAGGCACAATTCCGAACATCTGAAAAACCAAAAACTCAACATTAATTATTTTCCCAAACTGGGAATAGAGAAACAGCTCCGTACGAGAACACAAATGTGTACGGATCGGTACCGATTGGCGCAGGTATATAATTACAATATAATCTATTGACGTACTTTTAAAAAGCCGGTCCCGTGTCGTCACGGTGCGGTGTCTGTTAATTTCGTAAGACCAACAAACATAATCTTGATAATACATCACAACGTTCGTGTAAAATCTTGGCAACGGTATAGTTGTAGCAGCAGTACTATTGTCGCTGCGTAGTCACTAAATTTGTATAGCGACGTAGCAGCAATGTCATCACTGTGTAGTCGCTACGAGCGTGTAGCAGCGTAGCACCAATGTAGTCACTGCGTAGTCGCTACGTTTGTGTAGCAACGTAGCAGCAATGTAGTCACTGCGTAGTAGCTACGTTTGTGTAGCAACGTAGCAGCAATGCAGCCCCTGCGTAGCCACTAAATTTGTATAGCGACGTAGCAGCAATGTCATCACTGTGTAGTCGCTACGAGCGTGTAACACCGTAGCAGAAACGTAGTCACACGTTTGTGGAACAACGTAGCAGTAATGTAGTCACTGCTTAGTCGCTACGAGCGTGTAGCAGTGTAGCAGAAACGTAGTCACACGTTTGTGTAGCAACGTAGAAGTAATGTAGTCACTGCGTAGTCGCTACGTTTGTGTAGCAACGTAGCACCAATGTAGTCACTGCGTAGTCGCTACGTTTGTGTAGCAACGTAGCAGCAATGTAGTCACTGCGTAGTAGCTACGTTTGTGTAGCAACGTAGCAGCAATGCAGCCCCTGCGTAGCCACTAAATTTGTATAGCGACGTAGCAGCAATGTCATCACTGTGTAGTCGCTACGAGCGTGTAACACCGTAGCAGAAACGTAGTCACACGTTTGTGGAACAACGTAGCAGTAATGTAGTCACTGCTTAGTCGCTACGAGCGTGTAGCAGTGTAGCAGGAACGTAGTCACACGTTTGTGTAGCAACGTAGAAGTAATGTAGTCACTGCGTAGTCGCTACGTTTGTGTAGCAACGTAGCAGCAATGTAGTCACTGCGTAGTCGCTACGTTTGTGTAGCAACGTAACAGCAATGTAGTCGCTGCGTAGTCGCTACGTTTGTGTAGCAACGTAACAGCAATGTAGTCACTGCGTAGTCGCTACGTTTGTGTAGCAACGTAACAGCAATGTAGTCACTGCGTAGTCGCTACGAGCGTGTAGCAGCGTAGCGGAAACATAGTCACATGTTCGTGTAGCAACATAACAGCAATGTAGTCACTGCGTAGTCGCTACGTTTGTGTAGCAACGTAACAGCAATGTAGTCACTGCGTAGTCGCTACGTTTGTGTAGCAACGTAACAGCAATGTAGTCACTGCGTAGTCGCTACGTTTGTGTAGCAACGTAACAGCAATGTAGTCACTGCGTAGTCGCTACGAGCGTGTAGCAGCGTAGCGGAAACATAGTCACATGTTCGTGTAGCAACATAACAGCAATGTAGTCACTGCGTAGTCGCTACGTTTGTGTAGCAACGTAACAGCAATGTAGTCACTGCGTAGTCGCTACGAGTGTGTAGCAATGTAGTAGCAATGTAGCAATAAAAGAATGGTAGAAAAATGGTTTATGATATCGGGATGACATTATTAATATTATTATCAGTGTAGCAGTTGCTCTTTCATGATGACTTTTTAATATTTGATGGGCCGCCGTTTGACCACTATTTCGCTTGGTACTAAACCTACTACTGGTACCACCTAGTCTGAAAGCATAGACAATGCTTTGTTTGCTTATTATTCGGTAAGCTACACGAAGCCTCAGATGGTAGGATTGGGACGATTTCAGGGACGATGCAACAAGTGCGAGACAGACCTCAGGAATAATTGTGATATTCTAATCCCATTGAGTGACAATAGCTTTTAGAATTTAATTCTCATTTATAAATTATGAATCCAAAATAGAATCAAACGTATAAAATTACAAGTGCCTATGATGTGATTTATCAAAACACAAACGTATTATTGATTTAAATGTAAGTGTAACAGTGTGGAATCTATTATTAGGTATGCAATCTGTCTATTTGTGTTGTGTCTAGGGTTTATTATGGTTCAGAACGCAAGTCATGTTAAAGCTGAAAGCATGACGCCTCTAGTTTGACGTCACTACTTTGAATTTTTTTACCACAAAAACAAAAGCCTTTGTTAACTATTTATAGTTAGATTGGAGTATTGATAGTAAAACCGCGAACAACACCATTTTATTGTTCACAGTCGCGATAAGTACCCGCAAAAACAGACTTACAGACTATTCCTACATGTTAGCTATTTACCAGTCAATAGTATATGGGTGACCATTATTAACATTTGAAGACCACGAGTTTCAGACGAAAACCGTTTTTACATAGAGTCTGAAACACAAAATATTCGACAGAAGATTGAAGTAGTCTCTCGTTTAGAGTATCTTGCAACAACTTTAATGTGGTAAACCGCAACGGGTAGGTATAATTCAACTGTGATTGAGATTAAAATTCAGATACTTGAACAGCATAGCACTAATATTCATCTTTATTTAGGTGATTTCAACTCAATAGCATCACTACTAAGTTTTTTTAACACTCGCCTATTAAATTCCAATAAATTGTGGATTCATGGCATTGAACCTTCATAGCCAAATATGATTGAAAGCTTGTATGAAGGCCTGAAAGATTGGGGTAACCGAACTACCTACCAGAAAAGTACCTCGTAACTTTGTTGGCATATCCTATACATAGTATATTATTATATACTCGACACCAAGGTAGACTACATCAAACAGCATAATTTAGATCCACATCGCAAGAATTTGATAACAGTACAGAATCGCCCGCTCCGATTGAACCTGAAGAATAATAATGGTGAGTCTCCGGTGTCGTGAATACCTGGAAAATATAAGTAAGTATACGTTTAGTAGAAGTAGATACTCAAAACTTATTAGTTAGTAACGTAGTACTTAACAAAATATTGAATTTATATTAGCCAATTAAAAAAAGATTTTTCAGTTTCAGTTTTTTTGTTGGTTTAATATTGTAAGTTGCAAATAACCACTTTAATGACCTTTGTCACAAAGAGAACTCCTAAAGATTATTATGATTGGAAAATTAATAGGTACTCTATAAATTAATTAAACGGAAGAAAGGTCTTTGAGTAAACCATTTGCGAGTCAAAGAATGTACTATGTTCGTTTAATAGGAAAAACGCGATGGGGGTGCGAGGTCAGTTTAACGGGCTGCCTCCTTCCATAATAGGTAGGTAGCCACGATACGATCTCGGGGAGCCGTGTAGCCGTCAGTCGAGCCGAGTTGCTGCGGACGGGTGGTCAGCCGTCGTCCGAGACAGCAAACAACATCGCGCCCAATTTTCACTCAGGCTCTTTCTCCACTATTTGTCATCCGAACTTATGGACGCTGCTTAACGTTGCTCTCTGTCGCTCTCTCGATCATGGGCTGTACAAGCAGTGCTCCAAACATGGTCAACTCAAGTAAATCAGGTAGGTATGGTAATGTGACATTTGAGGAACCCCTTCCATAGTTGTAAAGCATGCTCATTTTTCTTAATCACGTCGCGTATTACTTTAATGGACTTGGTTTTGGGGCAGACTATATCTAATAAATGAAAATTAATTGCGGGTCTTTGTAATTGCAACCCGTCTAGCATTGTTAAATGAGGTAAATAGTGTCAACATAGTAGTTGTTAAAAGTTCCAATTATACCTCTAGATATCATAATTATATTTAAATACGTTGTATGCTCACACCATGTAGATAATATTATGAAAGTATCTATGTATTTTTCTAATGCACATATTTAACTCAACTAGTAAACTAGGTACCTAAATCTTTGAAAACTATCCACCACAACAATAAAACTAGAAATAAATCATCTAATACCTTTCTGGTTTTGTAGCTAGAAATGTAGCTTCATTGTGCATCTTCTATCGTTTATACCACGGGGAGTGCTCTGAGGATTATTTGGGATGATATCTGCCGCGTCCTTCTGCCATCGACTCACACGCCAGCAATCTTATCCCCATCATATGATTGTTGGCAGGCTACAACTATGAGCTTTTCTCCTAGTTTTCTGGCTCGCGTAGCAAAACTGTAGAATGATCTGTAGTCAGTGGTATTTCCGAACTGCTACGATCTTCAAACATTCAGGAAAGAGCGTATTCCTTTTTAAAAGGCCGGCAAAGCACCTGTGACGCCACCTCTGGTATTGCGGCTGTCCATAGGCGGCGCCGATCGCTCACCATCAGGTGATCCGTCCGCTCGTTTGCCTCCTATTCCATAAAAAGGAACAATCAGAGAGGTGTCACGAAATTTAAAATAAGTGTAGGAATGAAGGGAAGGCCAGGGAATTCCTATTATTAATTTGTTGATTTGACTGAAGCCTTTCATTCAATCTGTGAAAAAGTTTTACAAACTCTTGTTTATTTAAAAAAAAAATTAGACATTATGTGCCTTTTGTATTTGTTAAAATGTACTTATGGTATTTATATTCTTTCAGAGAAAAGCATTCAATTTGAAGAAGATGCGAGTGAGGTCCAGTCTCGGGATACAGAAGAAATAATTTATAGAGCAGGAAATGATCCAGACGAAACAAACGAGCTTCCATCGTGTGATAATTTATCAGAACATAATATAAATGTAGTTAGAAATATATCTACTTCTAGTTTAAAAACAGAAAAAGGTATTGTTACCCTTAATGCCTTTGACTTGGCATCTGTTTATGTGTTGGTTAGGCATCGATATTATGATACAAGTATACGAACATAATCTAAGGTAATTTATTTTTAGGCCCATTAGTGTATAGTAGTGTTTGTCTCAGCATTTAATTTCAAGTGCAATCTAATACCTAGGTACTTTTATATCAGATCAGTGGTCTCAAAGATAAAACTAGTTAGGTGTTTATATAAGCAGATTTCTTACTTATTACCTAATTTGACAAATACGAAATGGTAGGTATAAGTTCTTGTGGTGAACCGGCCATTGGCCTTTTATAGAAACGAATAAAAGCTCGTTGGTACGTGCTTAAACCTTCAAGAAAATAAAAAGCTATACCCACCTGCGCTTGGTATCGTGTGATAAGGCGTGCAGTTCAAGCATGTCTAGTGTCTACATTATAAGTGCAAGTTTAACATAACATAGCGACAGAAGTTTTTAGTTTTATATTAGTTGCATATCAAGTCTGATGACAGACAGTGACCTTGTTTATCCACAATTCATGTTTAAAGCACCTTGGGTGAAATGTGGGACTGTTTTGATAACAACTAACACGAGACAATATAACTTTCCATAATTATCTAATAGGTAGAACTAGTAAACGTGCAAACTTAACGACCAAAGTTATTAATTATCTGTTATAACTACATATTTCAGACAATCAAGAAGACAGACATAGTAATGAGATGATACTTAATAAAACGGTATCAAGTGCTTTACTACACGAAGAAGAAAGTCCGCCTAAACTAGAAGAAGTAGTTGAGAAAGTAGTAGAACTACATTCTTCAGAAAATCTTAACGAAACCAAACCTGAAAACAAACATGATGAAACTGCAAGGGAAACCGGAACTAGAGAAAGTAACGATAGCGATAACACCAAAGACAGTAACTTCCAAGACAGTGAAACACACGAAGATGAGAAGGAGGACACGCAAAAGTAAGTAGGTACCTATTTACTACAATATTTATTTTCTAATTAACTAACCACGATAGATTGTTGGATTGTCATTTCTATACATCTATTATCTATACATATAAATAAAATTGTAATGTCTGTTTGTAATATTGAAATAACCGCTTTTACTACATACGTATGAATAGGTATACATACAGGGCGTAAACGGAATCCTCATGAAACGCTGACAAAAAAAAATTGCTTCAAAGTGTGTCCCAAAAGTCTAATCAAGTATAATTATAAACAGTATTATTTAACAGTTACAGTTTATAAGTATATATAATATCCAGAACAATTTAGTGCCTTGAACTGGTTTAAAAAAATCATATTCACCTAAACTACAAAAACGTACCTACCCTCTTACCATGTAAATAATACTCAAAGCACAGATGCTCTGTCTTATGTATCTCTGTCTCAGTCTCGGGTGAAGCAGAAACTGCACTCTACAGCTCTGTAGTAGTACGGTAGTACGAGTCTTTTTTTTAATGTGTAAGTAGGTACTTATCGAAATAAGAAAATTTGTGGAAGAACAAAAAACACGTGTTCTTTTTATGGATTGTAAGATATTTGTAACGCTAATGTAGGTAAATAATCGAAACGGTGTACGTAACTTTTACAATAAATTAGCCACTGTTATGAAACAATAGTACCTACCTAAGTACTTTTATAGAAAAATTATTTAAACGAGTGTAGTTTTTCCCAGAATTTATACATACCTAGTAACAGCACATAATAGTTAATAATTAGTACTTACTTATAATTTTTTATTTTAAAATAAACGTTTTCTTCATAACTTATTGTTGTGATTTTTTTTTTTTATATTTAAACAATAGTTTTTTTAATCAATTACTTTACCTTTTTTTTAACTTGAAACATAGTTTTCCATATTATAAAAACTCCCACAGTATTGTACTTACAAATACTGTAAGTAAGTAAGGTAAGTAACTATTTAATCCACAAGTAGGTATTTTTAATTATTTCCATATAAGTTCTGTAACTACCTGTGTCATAGACACCTTCCTACCTAGACAAGAGAAATAGGAAAAATAGAAAAGAAATTAAACCGTTGGTTGGTACCGATCATAACTCATAGTTAAATTATGTGACAGAAATGTGACTTTCATTTATATTTCATCATCAGTGTCGATTGTCCTGAAGAAGCCACAAGCCCGAGCCAATCCGAGAGCAGTCGGGCCACGAGATGGGAAGCTCTGGCGGATATAGCTGCAGAATTACCGCCGTCTCTCACAGTAGATCCTGTTACGGGGCAGATTTATGCGCTTTCTAAATAAATGTTGTTTTTTCTAATAACTTTTTCATTCATTTTCTTTCTTTTGGGAAACATTGCCGTAGGTACTAGGGCTTTCTCTTGTGTCATGTTCTCATTCCACCCAATCGTAGACACAAAGAATTATTTCGTGCGGTAAGCGAACCGTGACGACCCATTACTTATTGCATCAATAATATGCAACTACTAGTAAAGTGTGCAATCAAACCAAATGAGTGTTTTGTCGAGCCAAGCCACACGCGCAACGAGACAAGTGGTGAGCATTTTAGGTTCCTATAGATATTTTTGTACTACACTAGTGGACTAAACCATGAATTTAATTACCTACATATTTAATAGAAAAACAACATCACGACTTTTATCCCTGAAGGGATAGGCAGACGTGCACATTACAGCTATTAAATGTCACTACAATGTAACACCCACTTTTCATTATTATGTTATGAGTCCCACCCATGTAAAAGGGGGTGAACCTACTGCTATATACCGACAAGTCCAGAATCCGAGCTACAACTGAGAATTTTTTTAAAACCCAGTACTTTGCCCGACTCGGGAATCGAACCTTACCTGGCAGTCGCAGTTGCGACCACTTGGCCAACGAGGCAGTTAATAGAAAAAGTTAAGAAAATAAGGTAGTAAAATAGGTGCTTAATTTGCAGTGCACATATTTTCTAAATGTAGGTAGACACCTAAAAAAATTTTTTTGTTTTGTTTCTATGCATACAAACATTTCTAATTACTTACTGTTTAAATAAAACCAAGCTTTTTTTTCTGTGAATATAATTTAAACTTAACAACTAACAACAACAATCTGAGTTAATTAAGGTGAAGTCACTAATGCTAGACATTGACCTAAAGGATGACACCTACGAAAAAAAATCCTTGTATTAAAAACAACTTTAGTAAAATGACTCTTACTACAACACCATAGCACACCTAGCACCATCTATGAATTGTTCTCAAAAACTCCCGACAGTTTCTGAACGAAATTTCAAAATGGCGTCAGTTGTTGCCAAACATGTGACGGAGTGAGCACGCGTTCCGCGATTTCCTAATTTTTAGTTTAAGGACGCCGAAATTATAAGGTGAGTTTTGAATCCATATTTGTTATGAAAATACTTTTTTTTTCATTTGTATACGTATTAATAATAACTTGGGTTAGTGATAAGCGCGCTTTTCTTCTGTTTGCTAATATTTTTCCGACAAATTGTAACATGTCTACTATTAGTTCCAAAAAAACTGAATATCTAATAGATGACAGACGTGTCATCCATTAGTGTTTCTACGTGTTAAACTCTTATGTACGGTTCGGTGCGTTTTTGAACTCTATTCTTAATGAAAATATTGCTGTAGAGATATTAATAATGTAGGATCACTGTAACTAAAGGTAGACATGGTGTCTATTATTGGGGTATACATGATGTCAATTATTGGTCCTATTGTTCCAGACTGATAACTATGCCGCCAATAAAAGGACAGATGTTTCGTTACTCTGAGGCTGATATGGAAGCCGCTATTCGAGAATGCAGACGAGGAGTTCCGACGTCAACTGCGGCAAAAAAATTTGGGGTACCTAGGGTAACTTTGCTGAATAAAGTAAAGGGTAAGACACCAATAAAACGAAAAATGGGTCGAGCATGCTACATCTCAGATGATACCGAAGCTTTACTCGTAAACTGGGCGAAAGCATTGGTAAAACGAGGCTTCCCAATTGGGAAAGAGAACTTACAGGACAGTGTAAAAAAAATTGTAGATGATTTGAATTTAGAAACTCCATTTAAAAATGGAAGGCCTGGCAAAAGGTGGTACAATAGTTTTTTGAAACGACACCCAGAGCTTATCCCTAGACAGCCTCAAAATTTAACATCATCCAGAGCTGCAGTCACAACGTCACAGTTAAAGAATTGGTATAAAGAAGTTAGCATGTATCTTCAAGAAAACAACCACACAAATATTTTGGCTGAACCTCATCGTATATTCAATATGGATGAGACTGCATTTTTTTTAAATCCGAAAGGGAACAAGGTACTAGCACCTAAAGGCGAAAAATCTGTATACCAACAAGTTAACTCGGACGAAAAAGAATGTTTCACAGTTCTTTTAGGTGGTAATGCTGCTGGTCAAGTTCTACCGCCAATGGTTATTTTTAAGTATTTAAGAATACCAAGAGAATTGAGCTTGTCAGTTCCTGCTACTTGGGGTATTGGACGGTCCGACAGTGGTTGGATGACGATGGAGACATTTTACGAATATATCTGCAATATATTTGATAAATGGTTGAATGACAATGGTATTCAAAAACCAGTCATACTATTTATGGATGGGCACACGTCACATATGTCATTCCACCTGAGCAAGTTTTGTTCAGAAAATGGGATAATCCTAATTGCTCTGTATCCTAATGCTACACATCTATTACAGCCCATGGATGTGGCTATTTTCAGGAGCTTAAAGGGCGCGTGGAGAACTGCTGTGCAGTCTTGGAGATTAGAGAACATCGATGCCCCCACCTTGAGGAAAGTACATTTCTGTCCTTTGCTCAATCAAGTACTGACAGAAACATTGACACCTGAGATGTTTATAAACGGATTCCGTAAATGTGGGCTCTCACCTTGGAATCCCAATGAAGTGTGCTCTGCACCAGAACAACCAACAGATGAATTCATGGCAATACAAAAAATGGCGAAAATTAAAGAACTGGAAATGGGCCTTAAATTCCTGGACAAATATATTGCTTCAGAAAAAATTGAAGAAAATATTGGGTTGTTTCAATTTTATAAAAAGATTGAAGACCTATTGACAAAAACTAAAGAAGACGTCTTGCCACCAACTGAAAACATCTCTACTTTGAATAATACCACATCAGAACAAGGCAGTAGAACTCCTTGTCAGGCAGTCCCGAGTAGCGATCCATTGACAATGCCATCCACATCACAAGCTGTAAATTTGGATTTTCAGTTCCAATATTTATCCCCAAATGAAGACCCTAAAACTCCCTGCAAAGAAGTACAAGAAAGCACTACTCAAAATCTCGAAGGCACAATAAACACAGGATCATTGATAGAACCACCTACATCAAGTCATTATAATAATACACTAACAAAAACTAAAAATGTCTTACAAGCAACTGAAAATCTCTCTACCTTGAATAATTCTGCATCAGAACAAGGCAGTACAACTCGAATATTACCACAGCTTAATACAATCCCGAGTAGCGATCCATTGACTATGCCGTCCACATCACAAGCTGTAAATTTGGATTTTCAGTTCCAATATTTACCCCAAATGAAGACCTAAAACTCCGCTCAAAGAAGTCCAAGAAGGCACTACTCAAAGTCTCGAAAACACAATAAACACAGGATCGTTGATAGACCCACGAATATCAAGTAGGCCACAAGATAGATGTCCAAGGAAGAATGCAGATAATATGGTAATACCTAGTCCATTTAAAAGAGCATTGTTTTGGCCAACTCCTAAACAAAACTCAAAAGGAAGAAGGAAAGAAAAAGTGCCATCTGTTATATCATCTTTGGAATGGCAAAGATACCATGAAAACAAAGAGAAGAAAAAGACTGAATTAGAGAATGAGAGAAAAGAAAAGCTGAGAAAGGAAAAAAAGAAAAGAAGAGATTGAAAAAGCACGAAAGCTTAAGACTGAAAAGAAGTTACTCAAGAAACGTAAAAAGACTGACTATAATAGCTCAACTACCGAAGATGAATGGGAAGAATCTGGAGACAGCGTGAATGATATTTCTGATGAAGTCACTGATGAGGAAAACGAAGAAGAAAGAAATGAGGAAGAAAAAAGCGAGGAAGAGAGAAGTGACGAAGAGAATAGAATTAGGCAAGGTGACTATGTTATTGTAAAATTTCCCGGCAAAAAGAAATATCACAAATATGTTTGTATTGTCCAAAAAGTAAATAAAGCAGACATTGAAGTTATGGCCATGGTAGCATGTGATAAGTCTAAAACAGTATTCAAAGAAAATGATAGGGATATCAGTGTTATAACTGAATCTCAAATAATTAAAGTCCTTGATGTACCAAATATTATTATAACTGGTGATAGAATTAAGTACAAATTTGATAGTGCCTTAGAGGTTGATGGATAAGTAATTATTATCTCTAAATTAAGTGTTTCAAGCACACTGATGCTCCAACTTCATTGATTTAATGTTATGTCAACTATTAGTGCATTTGACTGTCTATTTAAGGTGATTTTCGTTTTTTGTGATGTTATCTATTAGTACTTAAGACAATATTAAAAAAAAATATTAATAATAATTAAAGTATGTTAATTATTGGAAATTTTATTACTTAAGATAATTTTCAAAGATACACTGCATTCATATAAAAAAAACTGTAATTGTTTTGTTTAATAAATATATAACTACTTTCATATAAACTTTGCGTTTTCATTAAAATGTCGAGCATTAGTGACTTTACCTTAAGTGTTCTTCACTTTCATCAATGCTAAACCATTGTCTTCTGTAGTCCCACCAAACACTACAACACACAAAGATGGCTGCTCGAGATGGTCCCAAATTGATTGAATCCAAGTGTTGATTTTCTTAATCAGTTCCTCTTCCGTATCATCATCTGGATTGCATTTCAAATGGGCCATAGTTAAGTTATAATCACTGACAGATTCTTTGAATGAAGTAATCACTTCCTCGACAGTGTCTACAGTAACCAGCTTGATCTTCTTAGGCTTCCCTTTCTTTAACTGAGCAGACATACTTTCCTTGGCTTGGGTCAGATATGTATGATAGTCGCCAGTTATATCATCACAGCCTATTATAACAGATGATTTCTTTTGCTCCAGCATGTGATTGAATATTGATAAGGCATACTGGGGTGTTTTCACCATTTTTATAACATTTTCCTTAAATTTTTCTCTATTTGTATGTACAGCATCACCAAACTCAATGCTATTACTAAGTTTCAGTTGTACTAATTTTAATGCTGCTAAAGAGTCTTCAGTGGAACAGTGACCTTCCATTCCCATCTGAATATTTTCTTTCAAAAATTCTCTTGCCAATGTTTTAAGTTTTGGTTTTCGAGTTCTTTCTCCAGTAAAGTTATACAATAAACTGGTATCTATTATATAAGGATGCATCATTTTTAAAGCATGCAAATCTGTGTTTAAAGACTGGCCTACTAAAATCGAATCTGGAGGTAATAGTGTTCTCAAGTCATTCTGTACATCTTCTAAGCGTTTAGTTACATTATTTAATAGAGATTTTGTGATTCCTGAAAATTTGGTTAAATAGTCTGTAATATCATTATAAGGTTTGACTAATGACTCATATATCACTTCATGTTTTTCATTTACCACAGAAATCCTTGTCAATTCCGAACCAGCATTTGTTAAACACATTTCACAGTCTATACCAAACATTGGAGATGAAGCAGTAACAGGTGCATATTCATCTTTTGTGAGTACATAATCAGCATAAGCAGTACTGAGTTTTCCCTTGAGAGGTACTGGGTAGTTCTCTTCAATCAATTGCCAGGCTGACAATACTAACTGAGTTCTCGGAAATTTGTCTTGAGTAGTAAACTCAACTTCATCCACTCCACTTCCATCTCCTATAGGAAAGACAGCTTTCATCATAATCATCAAATCTTTCCTTGCTTGAAGTGCTAAATTCATACTCCCATATTTCTGAATTATGATATCCTTTTCAGCCTCTGACAAGGGAACCAAAGCAAGTTCTTCAACTAATGAACCCCCATAAACAGAGGGTGTTAAAACTTCCACAAAATCCTGGAATATCTGTTTAGCGTTACTTAATTCATCTGAGTACTTTTCCCAATGCTTAATAGATATACCCTCCAAAATTAAACATGTTGTTTTTTTAATTGATTCACACTTTTCTAATGTATACCAACGTGGGGTCTCGGTTAGGTTGAGGTTACCAAGTAGAGAGTGTAATAGCAAATATTGAATATCTGTGAGCGTTAATGGAACTCTTTCACTGTTTCCAATAGATAATGAAGCCTTTTCTCCATTTGTCTTCAATCGAAATTTTGGTAATGGTTTCTTCCGTTTCCTTATTACCTTTTCTGACGCTTGTAGATTTTGGGTATTTTCTGAAGGTGATCCGACATCTGTAAATTAAAATTGTTGGTTATATGGAAATAGTAAGTTATTACAGTTGTTAGACTATTAGTGTTTAGATTTAGCGGAATTCACAAATTACAAGTAATCATATTTTGTTTTTATTAAGTTATTTTAATTAGACCAAACGCTAATTATTGTTTGTATGCTAAGTATAACCGCTAAAAAGTTGCTAAAACTAAGTACTCAACTTACTTTTAGTGGATTCATTATGAGCGCGCCGTTTTTTTGAAGAAGGCGTTTTGTTACAATCGTCTCTGCTCATTGTTTTGAGGGTGATAACATTATTGACGACCAAAATTGTAATATGTAAAAGTTGAATTGGATGTTAAATCAGGTGGTATTGCTATTCGCAGAAAAGCATGCTTGCTGTTGCTCACAACTCACGGCCCGTTTCTAATGTCAGTCAGACTCAGTTGTCAAATTAATGTTAATGTCATGACATACGTATTTTTTTTAGATTTCATTTTTTAGGGCATGAGTTCACTCATGGATTGGATCTTTGGATCGAAGTCAAAGCTAATTTAATTAAAACATTATGGGCCTGTTCCAAAACCCTCATATATGTCACCGATAAAATATGGTAAATAGTACATACAAATTAAGTTAAGACAACATAGACAGTGGCTATCCAGATGGAATAGACTAACCGTTATAGAATCCATGCTAAAAATTACTTAATAAGCAATTGGGAGACAAGTGGAAGAGCCATGCTTCAGCACGAATGGTTCGGCATGACCGGAGTTACTGCAGCCGGGGGGCTTTGTCGGCCTTTTGGAGATTGCCCCCCCCCCCCAATCTCCAAAAGGCCGACAACGCATTTCCAACTATTTTGGTGCTGCCGGTGTACATGGACAGCGCAGATTGGTTACCATTGCCATCAGGTGATCCAACTGGTCGTTGGCTGATCTATATCATAAAAATACCTATTTATATAGGGGCTAGCGAGCTCCCTGCCTTTTTTGAGAGGGTAAATCATCGAATTATATCAGCCCTACTAGTGGTAGTAGGGCTGATGCCGAAACGGAGCCCCGTAGTGGTCAGATAGCTCTTTTGAGTCACGTGCGAAACGCGACGCGCCGACCTCTCTAAGATTTAACCATTCAAATCCATTATTTCATTCTGTAGTCTGTAACTAGTCCTTCATTTTCATTTCTACTTACCTGGCACTAGCATCATCATAACATCAGGACTTTTGTCATCGAAGGGGTAGGCCGAAGTGCACATTATGGCACAATGCCACTGTACAGTTTATCACCCACTTTTCACTATTTAAGAGTCTCTTGTAATATGGGTGAGTGAGCCTATTGTCATATACCGGGCACAATTCCAGACTCTGTGGTACTACTACTAATTGTTCAAAAACCTAGTAATACTTTGCCTGACCCGGGTATCGAACCTGAGATCCCTTGCCCAGCAGTTGCACTTGTGACTCGGCCAACGAGGCAGTGATCCTGGCATTGGCAGGAGGTTATGTTAATGTTATGTTTCTCAATAACTATTCCAAATAGTTAAGTGTGGGAGAGCCATACTTTGGCACGAATAGGCCGGCTCGACCGGAGTGACACCACGGACTATCAGACGACACAAAACTGTTGTATAGCGTGGGATGCGAAAAAATAACACAAATTACATTTAAGGATTTGTTTAATTACGTATTGCACACAATGTTAGGATGTCATAAATTGCTCTGCTTTATAACTTTTGATCAAGATGATTGGAAAGGACGAATCGTAATTAGTAATCTATGCATGAGATTAAAATATTAATACTCTTTTTAAATATAATTATTTATTATTTCCATTAAGTTACCTAGGTAATTAGGCGTTAATTTTCCGAGTAACTTGAAATCAAGAACATCATAAAACTTAATTGATAAAAGTAGGATCAACAATGTAATTACCTACTGACTTCCAATCTTTTCCCATAATTATACTATTAGGTATTTTTAATATCTTATACTAATGTACACTAAGCCACAGAAATAGAACAGCATGATGGGTTTATAGCTATAATACATTAAAATTCTAACAGTAGTGTAACTATTGCAACTTCAACTTGAGGTCGAACAAAAATATATTCTGTACTTTTACAAGGATTTAACTATTTCTCTTAAACAGCCAGTGTTTTTTCTATAAAAGCTCTCATATCTTTAAGCTCCGCATCTGAAGAACTATGTGTCAACCCCTGGTATGTTGTGAATTCAACATTTTTCATGAAAGTCTTGAGGAATGAAGCAGTCATTTGTCCCCATTTAAATGGAACTACTGGATCACAGTCACCATGAGCTTGGAATATCTGGAAGAGGTATTATAATATATTAGTATAATTAAAGACTATAATTTCAGTAAAAGTTAGTATAAAATAGTTAACAATAATTCACTGTCAGCTATTGTCAACAAAAATAAATATATTTGATTGACCTCTCCTCATTCACCTTTTAAAATTAAATATTGCGTGCTGTATTTTCTACCTTCATATAATACCTATTTACGTAAAGATAGCAAAAAGTAATGAAAAATAGGCAAAAAAATCATACATTACGCTTATATTATATACTATATTGAATATACTTAATTTCCGGCAATTAACCCGGTCTACATAAAGGAAGTTTACCAATAAATATTTATAACATAAATTAACATACAATGTGCTTTGAATACAGAAATCCATTTATAGTTTATTTTTCAAATAAGTACAATTTTAACTGAGAAACATGACATTCTCCTAATAATGATATTGTCATTGACGAAACTAATTAAAATATACGACTCTCTCCAGTACTCGACTAGTTTCAAACAGCACTGGAGCTCACGATAATGAGTTGTGTGCATGGTGAACGACTTTGGCCAAAAGTCATCGTTTGGTACGCACACAACACTACTGACTGACATTTCGAGCACCCTCAAAAGGGTTTATGAAAAAACCGTGTATTTTAATAATTAAAATAAAGATGCGTTAATAATATATTTTATGGTACTTGTTACCTTCTATACAACAAGGAATTAAAAATGTATATAATCTTTGAACTCTTTGTATAAAGTTTTCATAAGTTATTACAAACATAGATATTGATAGCCTATCTGATGATAAGTGTGTTTAGATAATCATATCGTTCATTTAATGTTAATATATACGTAACAAACTTCAATTACTTTACTGATTACTGTGAGCCGCTCCCGTTAATGAGATTTGTAGTATGGCGGCAACTTGGATTAATCGTCTTATCTTGCTGATTCACATAAACGCAGTCATAGGCTTTCAACACACCAGTGTGTTGTTAAGACAACAAATTCGAAAAACACTAAATGAATTAGGAAAATCACTATCTGATGGGTTGAAACAAAAGGTAAATTAAGAAAATTTATTGATAGAGTTGAGGTGGCTTCTAAAATGTGTAGCATTATGAAACACAATGAAGACTTATCATCCAAGAATTTATTTTTGCATGGGATGCAAGAAGGTAAACTAGTACACTGCTCTCCTGATGGTGATCAGCTCCACTCATGTACACCTTCAACACTATGAGGAGTTACGAGTGCACAATCGCCATGTTCAGTAATGGATGGGTCAGTATGAAGTTGCAATTAGGTAAGTTTAAATGAATGTGATTGACTTACGAGTAACTCTTTAGAAGTCTTTACTGCATCTGGGAAATGAGCATGTCGTGGTAACCAACAAGATAATGACATAATTCCAGCTAGAGGTTCTGGATATGTCAAACCGGCATGAAGTGCTAATGCACCACCTTGAGAAAATCCGCCCAGCAATATCCTGTTGGGGAGTATACCAGCCTGAAATAGAAATTTCGTTTATATAACTCCTATTTAAATAATGTAACAAAAAATATACATGTTACCGGACACTTCATATATTTACATAAGCAAAACATTAATATTAAACTAGTTTTTGTGTCATTAATGTATAGTTATAGTTAATAGTCTATTCTGTCAGGATAAATAAACAATATTTAATATTTTTTATACTTCGAAGTGATAGTGATTAAACAGATTTTTTGAATTTTGCTAATTCTCTCCTTTAATTTGAAAATCGAAGAGAAAATGTTCTCCAAGAATTCAAGTACGTGAAATTTCATGTTTTAATACAGTTTAGTATTACAAATCCTACTGCACGGCTGTTGCAGTGGCTTAAGATGTCGCAGGTTCTATTCCCACATGTAACAACTCTGTGTGATCCACAAATTGTTGTTCTGTGTGTGATGTGTTTGTGAATTTGTATGTTTGCATACACACCCACAACACTGGAGAAAATTCTAGTGTTGGGCAAAATTAAGACAAATACATACGTTATAATATTTTTTCATCACTTCCATGTTAATAATAAAGTATAAGCGGGAAAAATTATGACTGGAATTTGATCTCTAGGTCATGCAAAATGTTGTGTTAAAGTTTGTATTAAAAATTGTGCCACATCACAGTCAACTTATTTCAACAAAGTAAAGGTATATAAAATTCAAAACAGTGTGAAGGGAAGATATGAAAGTTGGTTTATTAAAATCAATTAAATGAATTTCAATTTCTGCACCAGGCATATTTTACTTAATCGTCTTTGTTGTGTACATACATGCTTGCATCAATCAGAAAAAATACATAACTATTCTGGGTGCGATCAAAATCTTGTACATTCTACTGTAAGCATTCTTTACAACACTGAGGCTTATGCTTTATGATGCTGACATGACATGTCAAGACAAAAACCCTAAAAAATAAAGATCATGCATAAAAACACCATTACTGACAAAATTAACACTATCCTACTAATATACAATCCTGGTTTTTTTAAATCTAATGGTCCAACATAAGGCCACAATCTCATGTGGTAGTATGCGATGATGCGGCCTACGATGGAGCATGTCTGCCCATATTCACTCAGGCATTAAAGACACCCAGATAATACCCCTCAAAAAACACATAATTTGGCAAAGAATTCCACAGCAGTATGCTCAAGGAAGCTTGAAGTGAAGCACTTTGAGAGTATGGGAAGTAGGGAATCTACCATAAAACAGTGTTGCTTCACCGATTGTCTAGTAAGACAATGGAAAGTACTGGATGCATTTGGAAATTTACAACTGAAATAGACTACTGATGTGATGTGTAGATCAATAAAACAACTTGGACAAAAACTTAGAAAGACAATTGATTTAACTTGATTAACATCAATTACAATTTATTTTACTTACTTTAATTTCATTAGCAATGAGACGATGAACATGTTCAGTGGCTCTTAATATTCCCTCTTCATCTTCAGGAGCTGTAGCATCTAATGTTCTTAAATCAAACCACGACGGCATACGAAAACCTGCATTCAACGTCACTGGCATCGTAGCGGCAGTCGGACATATTACCTTAACGTGAGGGCCACGAATAGCAGCAATTGTATTTGCCCAACCATGGCTGAAATACAAATTATGAGATAATTATGATATGAGAGATACCTATGCCATCCAGTAATGGATAAAATTCAGCAATCAAAAACATACTAACCCAGTGTCACCCAGACCATGAAGAAATATTAGCTGAAATAAAAAACACCGATAACGAATTAATAATTGTACACTATTCATGTTCTATTAATTAAACAAATAGAAATAATAACTTACAGACGCCGTTTGTTTGGCTGTGGCAGCGATAATTACAGGATTTGGTTCCATTATCTAAACAATACGTGAAAATCAATACTCTTATTCTGCAAAGTAGAATCTACCAACACACAGTTCATTCAACTAAATGTCCCAGTCTGACTGATCCGTCTTCTCTTATATTTTGACATTGTTGACGTTTTTGACATTGAATATTCATTCAGTCGGTCACCGATAGAGAGTACACTTTGAGTAGGTATTTTTTTAAGATCCAAATAAATGTAGAAAAAAATACCATACCATTTTATTTAATGTGCTACTTAATTTGCTATTTGATTATTTTTCAATATCATCAAAAACTCTTAACTATGTAGGCCTGCACCTTGTTGAGGTGGGCGATATTTTGGATAAATATTCGAGTTTGATAAAATCTGTTTCTATCGAGAATAAATTCAGAAACATCGTTTTCATCTTTAGCACTTCGTTAAAAATTGATTTTAATTTTGATGAAATCGATGTACTCAATTTTTTATGGCGTAAGACGGTAAACGAGCAGACGAATCACCAGAGGGCTTAGTACGAGTTTCTTTTTATTATGTTATGATGGTTAAATGTGAATAAGTGATAATAATAAATAGTCCTATAATATGTGTAATAATTTTTGTAAATAAAGTGTCGGTACTTATAAGTCAGTAACTAGAACACTGACAAAGTAACTGTCCAATTAATATATTTTGTAGCTCCTAATATTTAATTTTTGCATGCTGTTTTATTAGCTGAACATGTTTGTGCCTATTGTAAACCTAAGACCTTTTTATACCATGTTTACTGCAAATAAATGTTTTTATTATTATTAAGTGCGTTACCGGCTTTTTGGGGATTAGGAGTTTGGGGTTCGTTGGGGATTCAGGGATTGGGGAGATTGGGGAAGGGGAGGGTAATTGGACTAATTGGGCCTCCGGTAACCTCACTCACTCGACGAAACACAACGAACTTTATTCAATGCATTAAACAAAATAGGTATATTATTATGATACCTATACTTTTAACTTTATAGAAAATTGAGTAAAAGAATAAATAAGAAGTCTCCCGATCGGTTAAAATCAGTCAACTAATGTCAATTTTTCAAATATCATTTTTGTATTTTTTGCCCGACGCAGAAATCGGGTCTATAACATGAACATGGCTCAGCAGCTACTGCAGCCAGTCACCTAGAAATGTACCGTTCTGTGTTGACTGAAATCCTTATTTAAAACAACATCAACTACATAAAATATAGTTTGATAGTAGTGATGTAACTTAAAGAAAATACACATCTACTAACTAATGGTAGTTACAAGCGAAAGATTTTTGACACGTACTTTCATTATATTGTTTTCTGTTGCATAATGTTAAGTATTTAATTTTGTGCTAATAGAAATAACATGTCCTGCTCGCGATACACTTGTCCTAGTGCAGGCATCTAACTTTGTGAGGGCAAATTGTACGAACTAAAGATATCATACTTTTGTATTTTGCTGTTGTTTTTATGAATAAAGTTTTATTATTATTATATTCGAATAATGGCAGCATTATCTCTGAAAAAAATTGTTTGTGGCAATAATATTCGTGTCAGTGATTGTTACGTAAACTCATCGGATCTCTCTTTCACACTCGCCCTACTAAATGGGTCCACTAGCGCTCAGTAATTGATTAGATACGCATTCTTGACTTTATTTTCATTGCTTGTTATTTCTTGGATATTCATCAGTGGACTTCTTTTTATATTTTGTTGAATTTTGTTACAATGGATTCAACTTTACGTGAACAAGTTATGATAAATCAATTTGTGCTAGCTGCAGGATGTGCTCAAGAACAAGCAAAACAGCTATTGCAAGCTGCACATTGGCAATTTGAGGTAAATTTTATAAATATGTAAACAAACAGTATGTAATCATGAAATGGCTGCTACATATTTTGATTTACAATAGCCTTTAGCAGTTGTCACTCGTTGTTATCAATTAATTGTTAATTGTTCAAATAAATAATGACATTGTATTTATTTATGTTCCCCGTGTATTCGTTATACGTTTTATGATTAGTTAATTCCACTGAAATTATTTATGTTATTAGATAAATGCTACTCGTTTAATCTGTAAACATATTATTGATATTGACGAAATAACACGCAATAAGCGAATGGAGCTAGTGGTTTAACCTTGATGTGAATATAGCAAATGTGTAATTGTACATGTTTATTATATCTACTTTATCTCTCTTGTTGAATGTAGCAGTAGTACTATGATAAATTACTGTCAGTCTCAAAATAAATAAAGAGTTACCTATTAGTAAGGTTTATTAAGTTATATTGCTGTATTTGTTGTTCAGTCTATTATTATCAGATTTATTATGTACAAATTAAGTGTACATAATTGGTTCTGTATTTTTAGTAATATTTTTTTTTTGGTTAGGTTTGGAATACATAGTTATGATTCATTTTATTTACAGGTCAATATAAAAAAATATTGATGTTTAATGAAATCAATTTAAATTTGAACATTTAATTTAATGCGTTGCTCATTTCCACTTTTGTAACAAGTAATGATTATAAAAATGTGAATAACAACACCTGAGCCTATTATGTTTTTTAAAAGCAAAGAACTTAGTCATATTTACATAATATTTGTACCTATATTATATAGCATTCCTCCAACAATAAGATTGAAGACTATTTGGGACTTAAAACAATAATGAATCTATTAATTTTCAGACCGCATTATCAATATTTTTTCAAGAAGTCGCTATTCCGACTGGAGCTAATGGCATTGCAGCCCCACACTACCGTCAGGTATATAACAACACTAGAAAATGTTGTTATTTCCATTTCCTACATTCAAAGAAAACCTTCCTGAAATGAATTGTTCAGTGCATATAATATTATTTGCATTCTTTTTTTTATGGCATAAGCCGGTAAACTAGCTGACGGATCACCTGATGGTAAGCGATCGGCGTCGCCCATGGCTACCTGGAACACCAGAGGCGTTACAAGTGCATTACCGGCCTTTTGGGGATTAGGAGTTTGAGGATCTTTGGGAATTCAGGTATTGGGGAGATTGGGGAAGGGGAGGGTAATTGGGCCTCTAGTAACCTCACTCACACGACGAAACACAACGCAAGCGTTGCTTCACGTCGGTTTTCTATGAGGCCGTGGTATCAACCCGGTCGAGCCGCCCCATTCGTGCCGAAGCATGGCTCTCCCACACATTCTAATGATAACTTAATAATATTTAAAAAATGTGTGAGAAAAATAATAAACCATTTGCAAATAAACCTTTTTTAACTTTGCTTTTATATAATTTACAATGTTGGATAGTATTTAAAAGAAATGTAATATAATTATTATTTCAGCAATTGATGACGCCATGCAACACTCCAGCGACTCCTCCTAATTTTCCTGATGCACTAGCTGCTTTTTCACGACTGTCTACGACAGGCAGCCCAAACAATGCAGGTGGCGGTGGATGTGGAAACGCAACTGCGCCGCCTGTGTCTCCGCTCGCCACGCACCCACCACCGCCACCACCACCACATATGCAAATGAACATGTTTCCTGGCAATCCAAATCCTCAGACAAATTATTCGTCAATTTCCCGCTCAACTGCCGTAAGTTCTTAAAAACTTTATTAAAAAGTTTTCATTTTTACTTAAAGCTGAAGAGTGTTTGTTTCGCACAAATCTTCGGAAAAACTGGTTCTTATTAAATTATGGTTAATCCATTTATCAAAGAAGGTTATAGTAAAGATTTATTGGATCCGTTATTCATTTTAATATAGCATGCATTGGCTATTGTTTATTAATATTCATTTTAATATAGCATTGCATTGGCTATTATTTAATAACAAGTTATATTTTCCTTATTTCAGATGTGCAGCGAAAATATGCCAAGATAAATTTGAAGGTATTAGTTTAGGAGCATCTATAATTTATTTTTCTAATGGTGCGCAATGTGAGCTGTGGAATTGTGTATGAAATGTATATTACTTTAGTAAACACCCTATAGCAGCGATGGTTTGCTGGACAATATTTGGGGTGCTGTACTGTAGTCAATCATGTTAAATTTATTACAAAATATCGTATCTACATTATATGTATACAGTGGTTTCAAAATGTGCACAATAAATCCTATGAATTGTGTTAGTTTTCGGTAATCGAAATTTATAAAGTGATTGTAAAAAATTGTAACAAATTGTAATCATAAATAATAATCATGACTTTAATAAATAACATACAGAGTGAGAATTTTGCTTTAGCTTCTAAAGTTATCGTAGTCGTACTTCGACAATTTCATAATATCTATTTAAAAAAATATTTAAATCCTCAGTTGTTTCAGGAAATAACTTTGTGACTGTTGCTTTGCACAAACTTCACAAACTAAGTTCAACTACGAAGCTACTTACGAGTTTAAATAAATGTGAAACCAGTAACCTGATAAGTTTAATTTGAACATTGTTTGTTAGTAAACCCCAAAATTCTATACTGAATACAGAAAAATATATATGTCACCTTTCCAATTAAAGATATAGGTACTTTCAATTTTTTGGTATTGTATTGTAAGCATTTGAACTAAACATGTATACAAGATTTTTCCTATGGTTCTAAATATCTGTCGAGACTCGAGACGGCTTTTATTTTTCTTCGTTATTTCGTTCCCTGACTTAGAATTTACAACCAATTTTTGTAGAATACGAGAAAAATAAGATCCATTCGTGTCCATGGTTTCCGTAAAGCGAACAAACAGTAATAGGACCTGTTGGTACAGTGGGAATGGGGAATATACCATTTTACCCAGTTGTCAACAGTGTGTAATTTTACTTTTTTGACGCGTGTGTGCAAATTGTAAACTACTACGAACGGGAGAATGTGGGACGGAAGAACGATACGCTAGTAGCTTTCTTCGAACGAAGCAAGTTCTATGATATTATCTTGCTCTTTACGATTCTGTTCTGTCACTATATTGACCTTAACATAATTATCGTAATTTCTATGTAGGTAAGCAATAAGTAGGTTACTGGAATAGGCACTGTTCACCGCATAGATCATACAGTAAACAGAGCTAATCACAGTTCAGTAATGTACAGTTCGTACTATGCTAGTATTTTAGTCGAGTAGAAAGTATTTAGTGACTTTTTCTCGCTTAGATTTTGAGACAGAAGCGAGGAAGGGCTACTAAATAATCGCTATGCGATTAAAATACTAGCATGTAGTGCGAACAATGCATTAGTACCTACATTGAACTGACTGTGCAAACATAATTATGTGGTTCATAGTACCTACCACAGTAACACCTATTTCATTATAACTCCGGTTAAAAGTTATTAGTTTTTTCATAAATCGTTAGATTTCACCTGTTAAATTATACGATTTATATAATTAATTATATTAGGTATAATTTTAATAAGATAAGTAGTCATCTATGAGAAGGGATACTTAATCAAAATAGTCTAGAATTACTACGGCCATAATATTTAAGTTGGAGATTTCATCTGACCAAACTTCATGAGCGAAAAGGTGAATGAAATTATTATACTGTTCGCCAAAGTGAATAAATTATAAACCTGGCACATGAATGTAAACAATAACATTGAGAAATGTACAGATATATTGTTTTGGGCCCTAAGCATTTATTTAAAGGGTAACCTTGTTCGAAATGTGGACCCTGTTCATACCTAGTATACCTTATTAAATATTAAATTTTATTACTTACCTTATTATTATTACTTAGGCACCTTAATTAAAATATCATTTTGCAAAATAACTGGTCTGATCTTATTTTCATTGCCTTATCTTTCTCAATAAAATTAGTGAAAGTAATTTATTTATTTTTATTGAAAAAGGGTTCAATCTGCCGTAAAAATGGTCAGTTGCAGAAACGAGGACCCCAAAGATAAAAATCACGAAACCGAAAACCAGTTCAATTTAAATAAGTCGCAAAGAAAATAAGAAATGTATCATCAAATGAAATAAGTACCTACCCTGTTGTATGTAAGGAAGAGCAACTTATGCTACCTACCTTTATCCAGTATATACTATGATTTTTTAATAATCAAAATAAACACGTCATTCTGATTGATAGCTTCTGTATTAAAGCCGAAGAGAATTCTTGCGGTTACTGTAAAAGTGTAAAGGCTCAGACAGAACACTGAGTAGGTACTTACGTAGGTAAATAAATAAAACAATTAAATTGTTTTGGTGTTTTAAAAAAATGTCAGAACAAAGAATGTTTACTATCTCCTCAAAATATAATTGTAACATCCTGGTACCTTAATACTTCAGATGTCTTTAGTAGCCATAGCATATTTTGAACCTGTATGTTTTCTCAATGTTGATATTACATAATATTTTTATTTTATAGTGTTATTTCATATTGTCTTACTTTTATAAGACACTAATTTGCTTGTTTCGGCTGTCACGAATAAAAAATGATTGTATTAAGTGATGTGTGTTTAAATGTTTAAATGACAGTTCATACACATTATTATAGGTACCTATTTGCGAGATATCAATAGTGTTTGAAGTAAGTAATTCAGAACAAATTATAAGTAATTACAACTTCAACATTAAACCTAGTTTTTTCTGCCATTATCCGTTTCACTAACGTAATGCTAAACAAGAGCATTAAAGATTTCCATGAATGATATACCGAATCCCTTGTTAAGCCAGCCGGCAGGTAAGGTATCTCATATTAATTTATAATTATATTAATGGGCTTTGAGTGATGACGTCCTACTATTGTTTTGTATTTGGAAAAGAAAAGGATGGCATTACATGTAGGTATTTATAATATACTATTCTGTATCGTTCGATAAGAATTTTAATAGTAGTACCAACCTACCTATTATGTTATTGTTACTTATGTATAGTTCATAGAATTTGCTAACGTGGCCCCTTACTAGGATGTGTTATGGCCAGTCATAAGTGCATTTACAAATAACCCAGACCTGGATCCACATTTTGTCATTGCTCCGCACGGGATCCAGCAATATGTTACGCAACTTAGGCAGCAGCCGGTTGCTCAGCTGCTGCATCAATAATGCAGTCAAAAGAGTGGATAAAAAAGTATTAACTCGCCGAGTACCGGTTTTATAGACACAATTAAAGAACAATAGGTCGCGGTCACCGGTGACCGCTTGGTGTTTGACAGTTTAATTAGTAGGTAGGTATACTTACTTACCTTCCTCCATTATGTGTGTGAAGCTGAGGCTGTGTAGAGCTGCAATGAGTATTAGTAGTATTACGGTACCCAATTATACTTTACAAGTAATTAAAATTGTGAGTATTTAAAATTAAAAAATACCCTGAAACAAAAGAACAACCCCTTTTTGCATTGAAGGTTTTTTAACTTCGATCATCCTTACTATATAATATAATATATATCTTTTTTTTTAATAATTAAATAATTAAATCTGCATCGGCCCTATTTGGCCCCATCTGTGGTGGTCTGATGGCTCTTTGAGGCGCGCGCGGAACGCGACGCGCCGTACGCTCGGGTTTGTTTCTGGTCGGACGGGAGCCACCCATGCTCGCCGTCCGCAGACCCGCGCTTACGGTGGCCGGAGATCGTCCCGCGATCCCCGACGCCCGGTGTGTCCTTCGCGATGGCTGGGTTGCGAGGGCGGCAGCGCTTCGCTGCCTCACGCGTCCCGCCTCCTCCTTAGCTAGCATAACTGCTTCGCAAAAGGAGGAGACGGCATCCCAGTCCCCCTCTTTTTCTTCTTCTCCTCTTATAATATCTTCTGATTCACTTCGTTGCGGGAACCAAGACAGTTACTCATGTCCCTGGGACGCGCCGGACTTCAATGTTCCGGTGTTTTCATGGTTGTATCTACTGTAGATCCTGGCTTACAGGAGTTGCAGCGGTTTTGGGAGGTTGTGGCGGGCTTGTCCCATTAAAAAAAAAAAATCCCAGTCCCCCGCTCCGCATCATGGCCTGCACTAGGCCCGGACGCGAGAGGTCGCCATCGCCGATCACTTCCCTGAGGGCACGGCGGTGCTCAGCCCACGCAGGGCATTCCGCTACAGTGTGTTCAACCGTGTCCTCAGGGCGGTCCTCGCAGTGATGACACCCGGACCTTTCCTCCCGCCCCATCAGACACAGGTACCTCCCGAAACTTCCATGTCCGGTGAGGACCTGCGTCAGGCGGTAGGTGAGGACGCCGTAGCGTCTCTCAAGCCACTTCAAAGAAGGGACTTACCGCTGCAATGGCAGCGAGCCTAGCCCTCGGTTGCGACAGTCGTTGCTGCCATTCCTTTTTATTGTTTATAATATCATTGTCTGACACACATGGAGAAATGGAATAAAAAAAATTGAATCAAGGAGGCCTAAAAATAAGTACACATGTAGGTAAATAAATATTTATTATTTATTTAATATTGAAAAATCATTGGATATCATGTGTCTACGTAAGAATGTTATAGGTATAAACCAAACATTCTATTACAAATAGGTAGATATTTTGTAAAAAATTATTTAATTATTTTATGACTAATGAGAAGGTCGAAATTCGGGTTCTACTTCAGCGTCTTTTTTCCTTTCTTGGTTAGTTGTTAACTCATCATCATATAACGTACTGTTGTGGTATTCAGATTCAATTTCTTCGCAGCTTTCAATAGGGCTAACAATTGTAGAATGTTTACTTATTTTGAATAACAGCTAAAATAGAAAAAGAAAACCATTACATGTTAATGCAATGTAGAACATAATACGGTAATTTACTTAAAATGGCGTTTTATATAAAATAAATACCCTGTAAAACGAAGGTTTCTCGTATATCCATACGAAAAATATAGAAGTTATGATCACTGTTATAGTAAAAATCAAATACTTGGTGGAATAAGTATACGCATCCAAAAATATACCATACCAACATCCAGCGTTTACATTCAACATGAT